GTGTATCTTTCCCCTTAAACTCCAACTCTGATTTTACAGTTACAAAATGGTTATCTGCTCGACGACACCAACATGGCTAACTTTCACCCTCTTCCATCAGCACTTTTTGCATTGAGTTATTCTTCTCCTCAACCTCTAGGCGCTTGACAGTCTGACTTTTTTGCTAGTTAAAAATACCTTTATTTTTTTTAATTCCACTTTTAAAAAAAAGTATTTAATTTTATTCTTTTTAAGTTTGCTGTAAGGCACATGTGCTTGCCAGAGAGAAAGAGAGAGAAAGAGAGCACGAGAAAACAGGCTGCCAGGTCTGAGACACCAACCTCAGTCAGCCAAGTGGGAGTCCAGCACCCTAACTACCACACCACCTGCTGGCCTCAACAATATTTTTATTTTTAGTGAACAGCTCTTGTCTTCTTCAAGTGTTTCAGAACACAGTCTAAGTGCACTAGCATATTTATACTAGAGTTCCTGACTATCTATCACAGCAACTGTGCCCTCTTCTGCTTCCACACCCCATCGTCCCCATTCTTCTGAGTTTCAAAGCCCACATAGCCTCTTTTACATTCACATACTGAGTTATTGGTGCACTCAAGTTGTACTTTGTCTTGTAGAGCTTCTTAGATCCCTTTGACTAGTCAACAAATTGTGCTCTTGCATTTGTTTTGTTGTGGGTATTCTGTCTTGTTATCGTATCTGTTCCTTATTCTCAAAGGATTCAGCTAAGTGTTGGATGACATAGGTTTCATTTGTTTTTAGACTTACGATTCCATTTCCTGTCTAAAGAAATTATCTTTGTAGGTATGACTGAATAAAGAAACCCATCAGAATAAATGTTCTAAATATAAACAATTCCAAAATCTCCTCATCTTGCATCTATTAAGTCTTTGTAGTTATTGGGAAGATTATATTACACCTCTGGTTTTAAGATGCTTTATGTGCAAAATGTTAGGTCCCTGACTTGGTACAGGTATTGTCGCTTCAAAATGTCTGTTTAAGGGAACCAGCAGTTAGCGTAATGGCTATGTCGCTGGACTCCCACGTAGTCGACCGCGGTTCACGTCCTGGACCCAGTGGCTTAAAACTCACGCCGGGCGCATGTGCATGCGTGCCCAAGATCCCGAGAGAAGAATGGAGGAGAAGGGATTGCGGCGTTACCATCCCCCCTGGGGGGTGATTTCTCGCTTTCTGTCTCTATGTCTCTCTCTGTCTGGCGAGCGCACGCGCCCTACAGTGAAAATCTCTCCAAAAAAAAAAGTCTGTTTAAGAACTATAAATCCAGTAAGTACCATAAAAATGTTTCAGAATATTTATGCTCAGGATTAATAGTGTGTAAGGTAAGCATGATGTTAAGAAAGCCACTCTTGTTTGTGTCGCTGTTGTCATTTGTGTCTTTATACAGCCATCTGGGCATGGGGCAGAGTTGCAGGTTATGGTTTCTGAGCTAAAGGCCAGCCGTTATGCCGCCTGCCACCCTGTGTTCCTAAGGAACATGCTAATATCAAGTGGGTGTGTTTGATGCTTCCTAAAAACAGAAATCTGTAATGTAATTGTTCCTCTCTGCTGGTGGCCAGATCAAGCCTGTTTGACATTGAGAAATTCAGAGCTTTTAGCTGTGACTTGTTAACCTAGCAAAATAAATACTTTCCTTTCTACCTTGCAAGCTCATCAAAGCTAAGCTCACAATGCTCCAATGTTTCCACAACTGTCTTTAAACAAATTCTTTTTGCCTTAGGGAGAGTGAGAGAAAGTGAAAAATCACCTTCCCCCTCCACCCACAGGGAGCTGGGACATGGTTCCCCTCTGGGGGTTTTGAGCATACATGCACGGACACCTTGTGTAATATTTTTGTTTGTTTTTTAAAAGGTTTTGCCATAGGGCATGTGTGCTCAATGGAGAGAAACAGAGGGAGCAGGTGAGAAGGAAAGTGAGAAATCACCCCCCGGGGGAGATTGCCACACTACTCTCCCTTCTCTTGGGATTTTGGGCACATACACGCACACACACCCAACATGAATTTTAAGCCACAGTGTCCAGGACTTGTACTACAGTTGCCTGTGTGCAAGTCCACCACCTTGGGACCAGCAGATGGCATAATGGTTACGTTGCTGGACTCCCATGTAGCTGACCATGGTTCAGGTCCCAGATCCGGCAGCCTAATGGTCAGCCTCATGCTGAGTGGGACCAGCAGTTGGCGTAATGGCTATGTCACTAGACTCCCATGTAGTCGACCGCAGTTTGAGTCCTGGACCCTGTGGCTTAAACTCACACCGGGTGCGTGTGTGTGTGCATGCCCAAGATCCTGAGAGGAGAATGGAGGAGAAGGGATTGAGGCGTGGCCATCCCACCTAGGGGGTGATTTTTTGCTTCCTGTCTCTCTTGTGAGCTCACGCGCCCTATAGCAAAAATCTCTCTCTCTCAAAAAAAAAAAAAAAAAAAAAAAAAACTAACACTGGGTGTGTGTGCATGCATGCCCAAGATCCCAAGAGGAAAATGGAGGAGAAAGGAGATTGTGGTGTGGTCATCCCCCCTGGGGGGTGATTTCATTCTTTCTGTCTCTGGCGAGTACACATGCCCTATAGCAAAAACCTCTCAAAAGAAAAAAAAAAAAAGAGTCTACCATCTTAACTACCATGCCACCTGCTGGCCCCAAATAAATTCTTTATTCTCTATGACTCAAATTATTGGTGACTTGACAAATTGGAATTATTCTAACCCATCACTCTAAAAATTTTGCATTTTTAGGGGTTGGCATTTTGGGGGCACATTTAAGGCCAAAGACCTCTCGTGAGCACATACATGTCCATGATCTAGGGTTGGCTGAAGCTGGGGATAGATTGCAGTGTCAAGACCCTGTTGGGGGTGCTGTCTGTCTGTCTGTCTTTCTCTGTCACTCTCTCCATCACTCAAAGAAGGAAAAACTAATTGTACATTTTTAATTTTCCTAAATGATTCACTGCTTTTTAACGAAGGCCAACCTCTCTCATATGGGTAAGCAACTGATTTTAAGAATAGAAAAGACCTTTGCCCGATCATAACTTCTTCATTTCTTTGCTGATAGTGACAGTATAGAATTCCACACCCTAAAAGAGCAACTTCAGACTTTTGTAGTTTGATTATGAGTGCAGAGCTTCAGGGCATCTAGTTCTCTATGGAAGACTTTTTAAAACATCATCTAATCCCTGATGAACACATTGTGTTGGAAGCTGATTTAAAACTTAAACAGACTTCAGGAACGAGTACACGGATAGAGGAACTTGGCAGTGTACCTGTATTGAAGTCAGTGACTGACTTGTTTCGACCTGCTATCATTTCAAACTACCCTACAAGATCGTTTTGTATGTCACATTCAGTTGTATCCTAAGAGTTTCATGCCATTTGCCAGTGTTATTTCTTCAACAAGCAAAAAAAAAAAAAAATTAAAAAGAATTTTTAATAAAATATTCATCATCATTTGATTCTACTCTGTATTTCAACTTTGATTATTTTGCCCATTGTATCTGGCTTTTAAATCATCAAATCTGTTTTATAGGATAGCTTTATTCTTACATTGTTAGTTATCTAAATAAAGTGGCTTATTAACGCTTTTTCAGAAAGCTAAATAACATTGTATCAGCAATTTGTTGATAAAGCATTCTCTTATTCAGGTTTCTTAATGCGAATTTAGAGGTTCACTTTGTTTATTGAAAGGCATACCTGAGACCAGCCAATGGTGTAATGGTTGCATTGCTGGACTTCCACATGGCCAACCACAGTTCAGGTCCCGGACCTGGTGGTTTCAAACTCGTACCAGGCGTGTGTGTGTGCCTGCCCAAGATCCCAGGAGGAGAATGGAGGAGAAGGGATTGGGATGTGGCTATCCCCCTTGGTGGGGGGGGTGTGATTTCTTGCTTTCTGTTTCTCTGTCTCTCTCAGACTCTCCAGTGAGCACATGCTCCCTATAGCAAAAAATATCTCTTTAAAAAAGAAAAAAAGAAAAAGAAGGCATTCCTAATTATGTGTAAAAACTGTACCTTGGGCCAGCAGGTTGCATTACGGTTAGGGCGCAAACTCTCACATGGTCAACCACAGTTTGAGTCTCAGACCTGGCGAATTGCTTTCTTACTCCTCCCCCCCATGACTATAACCAATTAAAAATAATAATAAATTAAATTAATCTTTTTTTTAAGAAGTTTTTGCCATAGGGCACATACGTTAACCAGAAAGAGAGACAAGGAGAGGGAAAGTGAGAAATCACCCCCCAGGGGGATGGCCATGCCACAGTCCCTTCTTATCCATTCTCTTCCTGGGATCTTAGGCATGCACACACACATACTTTGGTGTGATTTTCAAGCCTCTGGATCCAGGACTCGAACTGCAGTCAGCCATGTGAGAGTCCAGTGACGTAGTCACTACTCCATCTTATGACCCCAAATTAAATAATTTTTTAAAGATTTTGTACTTATTTAAGACTGTTTAAAGGAGAAGTAAATTTATTTTAAGGTTTCATTGGAGTCCTCAAGTAGAAATTAACATGCTTAATTTTTTTCTTAGAACAAATCTTAAAAATAAATTCTTTCTATGTAGTTAATAAAACTAATATAAGGGAGCATCTGATAGTAGGCATTGTGCCTAAAAATTCTACTCCTTAACTTTTTGTATTCCTTTTATGTGATTTTTCTCTAGTGTCTAATCAGCAATGATATCATTTCATAAAGTAATTTTTTTTTTTTTTGGAAAATTTTTTGCTGCAGAGCACGTGCATTCGCCAGAGAGACAGAGAGACAGAAAGAGAGAAATCTCTCCCCAGGGAGAATGATCACACCACAATCCCTTCTCCTCCATTCTCCTCTTGGGATCTTGGGCACGCACACACACGCGCCTGGCATGAGTTTAAGCCACCGGGTCCGGGACTCAAACCACAGTCAACTACATGGGAGTCCAGCAACATAGCCATTACACTGACTGCTGGTCCCAGTGAAGTAAATTTTTATTTCACATGGTTTTTCATTCTTTTTCACCAGATAATGGATTCATACCTGATTCACTTCTAGAAGATGTGATGAAAGCATTGGACCTTGTTTCAGATCCTGAATAGTAAGCTAAATAAATTAAAATATTATAGCTACTTTTGACTTTTTTCTTTCTATCTAAATCTGCATATATGAAGCATAGCAATTTATATAAAGCAAAGATTTAGAAACTGGTCCAGTATTTTAGCAGAGATTTGACAAATTTAAATTAGCTTCCTTTCCCACCAGAAACTTACTATCCTGCTTTAAAATGCTAAAAATATATATGTCATTTTCTGTAAACTTTAAATATAAATTCTGTCTCTGCCAAGACTTTTTTCTATTTTTAAAATTTTTATGTTTATCTTTAGTTTCTTCAATGAAAAGCACCAGTCTTTCTGTGTTATGTAGATATTACTAGTTGTCATGCTTAAATAGATGACAGGCCTTTACTCGTCCATCTTAAAGAAAGATGATCAAAGGCATTGAACATCTCTAAATGATTACATTAACTGGACTGAAATCTTTTTTTCTAGTGAGTGACTAGAGTACAACACAGATCATAATTTTTCAGTTTTATATTAATACCTTGCCATCATCTTCATTCACACTTTGTTTTATACATAGCTGACATCTAAATTTTTCCCATAGATTAGGACCTTTTGTTATTATCTCTGAGAAAATAACTCTCTTGTTAATTTGACATTGATTAAATATATACAAAAGCAAAACTGAAGATCACCTAGAATCCATTTTAAGTCTTCCTTTTGTTTCTACATTTCTTTTTTTCTGACAATGAGCATGTTTAGAAAACATAGTGAAAAACTTCAACAAAAGCAACATAAAACTTTGATATGTAGCGGTCCCTCAATGTCAACAGAAGATTGTATCCAGGAACCCCTTCCCCAATGAATACCAAAATTGAGGGTGCTCAAGTATTTCTATATAACCTACACACATCCTTCTGTATATACACTTTATAGTATCTTTAGATTACTTCCACTATGGATTTTTAATTTTTTTAATTGCTGTATTGTTTGACTGAATATTATATTTTCTCTGCAGTTGGTTTAATTCTTGATGCAAAACCCATGGATACAGAGGGCACAGTTTTTAGACTTGGTGCTAATCTACTTTTAAATGAATTCAGGTGTACTTTCTTCAAAACTATGAAATAAACATTTGCAAGCTAATCACATCTGAATTTTAATATGTTTCAATTTTTCTACCTAGAGTTATAATTATATCCATTCTCAATAGACATAATTGCTGTTTCCAGCTTAAAGAGAAATTCAGAGTTGAGCTAATCCTATTAATAGTATAATACTATATGTTTTCTAAACTGATTTCCAATAAAGACCATCTTGTTTACACTGCTCTAATTTCCAGAAGAGAATTGAATTCATCTTATTTTTGGTTACTGACAATTCTAAAGGCAAAGAAGAGTAAGAGAATATTTTTGTTTTGTTTGAAATTCTTACATAGATAACTGTCATCACCTACTAATTTTCCTTATCAGAATATGTAATAGACCTTTAATTCTAAAGGTGGTAGAATTTATTTAATCAGGTATTTTTTCTAGAATTAGCTGCACAATTGGACTGAGTTATTCATTCTGTACTTTGGCCTCCTCACATTTATAAAATATGACCCCAAACTAACTAGGTCATATTAAAGATTAAATATATTTGATGTATTATGATCTTGCTTTAATTTGTTTCATTTCATAACCTCCTAGCCTTACTTGGAATCTATTAGAATGTCATGTTCTTTGTGTAGTGTGCTGGAGGCATACATCTATAGGAGTCATGAAAGCCACAGGCCGACTTATGCATCTCGTAGGGCCAGTACTATGATGGGCTAGTTAGCAGGTGATGTACCTGGCCCCGGAGTATCCAAGAGACAAGGCTACCCCAACACAGATGAACTTTCTTAAACATTAAAACGTACCCTGACACAAAGAGCTTCACCTCCCCCTTTTGAGAGAAATACCTGGTAACTGACCCAGACTGAATATAGATATTAGAAAGGCAGAAGGATCCCCCAAAATGGTCCCCACATGGAGACCCTCTCAGACAGGTGGTCATCTTACCTCCTGACCAAATCTGTCCAAGGCTCTAGTCTGCTCCCTGTCTCCATCTCTCAAATCACTTCCAAATAAACTGCTGGAGCGACACATGGTCTAGATTCATCTTGGACAAGAACCAAATGAGAGAAGCCACCCCTGGAGTAGTTTGTTAACTAAAGCCACCCAAATCCTGAACATGACACTTTGCATGGTTTATAATTAGCTGTGTTTAATTTGGCATTATAGTCTGAGCTAACATGGAGAATAAAACTTCTCTGAAAAGGCCAGTTTCATTTTTTAAACTCTTCAAATTGCAGTGCACCTCTAACTGGCCCTATCTCCTCCTAGGTTGTAAGAGCTACACAGAGCACTACTCACTCTAGGTCAATAAAGTACGTGCCATTGACTTCACTGTATTTTAGCTCTTTGAGAATGCTGTTAACCTCTTTAACCTACAAGTTACATTGTCTAAGAGTTTAAAGCCTCTGTGTCTCTTAGTTCTTGAAAATAAGCTTTTGAAGAGATGTCTTTGATTATCTGATGTGCCACTCATTGCTTTTTGATGCTGTTTCTTTTTCTCCTTGGGTTTAAAAATAAACATTTTTTTTAAAAGTTTTAAACGCCTCATTTGATTGTTAAATTCAAGCATACCTATGACAGAAAGAGAATTTGCCTTTGGGAGCTTACAAGCCTAAGTTTATAAGCCTTGGTTTTTAAATTACTTTACCTAATAAGGAACAATATTCCAAAGTCATCGTCATGATTTAAATTTTAAATAGTAACAGATTACTCTGCTTTAAAAATAACCAAGTTTTGGCAAATTAGTTGTCATTCCTGTGTATTGGTCATTAAGGTTCTAAAAAAAACAACAGCACTTAGGATTTTTGGCAGTTGAATGTGTTATGGTACCAGTAATTTAATCATGAAAGAGAAAAAAAGAAAATTTTTCTGTTCCCCTTGTTATCCACTGTTTTTCTTTTTTCTTTTTTCCCCTCATAGTATAAATCTCATGAAGAATAAATTAGATCCAGAAGGATTAGGAATCATATTATTGGGTCCATTTCTTCAAGAATTTTTTCCTGATCAGGTAACATAGTTGAGAAAATGCATATATTATTTTCTTCTGTTGGAATGATCACCTGTGATTCTTTCAGGAATTTTTTTTTCCTACTTCTTTAAAATGTTTTAACATATAAATGTGAAACTAAGGAAGTGAAGTACTGTTATGTAAAGACTTTCCATACAGAGACAACAGAAAGGTATGTATGTTGCAATACAATAATGTAAAACTTCAAGGACAGAGACAGGGGAAATCATGCTATACACACACACACATGCACATACACACACACACACACACACACACACACAAATAATACTGGTTTTCTAAAAGAAGGATAAAATAATTTAGAAATATGTGGAGTAAAAGAGTGGTTCTTTTTCTCCTCTACCACCCTTGCTTTTCTTCTGTCAGGTTAACTATTGGTCATAGATTAGTCTGGGCCCTTCTAGAGCTGTCTGAATACTGGGACAGAGGTAAAGGCGCCTGAAGGTAGTAGGCACTCCTGCTGTTGAACCTAAATTCTTACATAGATAACTGTCATCACCTACTAATTTTCCTTATCAGAATATGTAATAGACCTTTAATTCTAAAGGTGGTAGAATTTATTTAATCAGGTATTTTTTCTAGAATTAGCTGCACAATTGGACTGAGTTATTCATTCTGTACTTTGGCCTCCTCACATTTATAAAATATGACCCCAAACTAACTAGGTCATATTAAAGATTAAATATATTTGATGTATTATGATCTTGCTTTAATTTGTTTCATTTCATAACCTCCTAGCCTTACTTGGAATCTATTAGAATGTCATGTTCTTTGTGTAGTGTGCTGGAGGCATACATCTATAGGAGTCATGAAAGCCACAGGCCGACTTATGCATCTCGTAGGGCCAGTACTATGATGGGCTAGTTAGCAGGTGATGTACCTGGCCCCGGAGTATCCAAGAGACAAGGCTACCCCAACACAGATGAACTTTCTTAAACATTAAAACGTACCCTGACACAAAGAGCTTCACCTCCCCCTTTTGAGAGAAATACCTGGTAACTGACCCAGACTGAATATAGATATTAGAAAGGCAGAAGGATCCCCCAAAATGGTCCCCACATGGAGACCCTCTCAGACAGGTGGTCATCTTACCTCCTGACCAAATCTGTCCAAGGCTCTAGTCTGCTCCCTGTCTCCATCTCTCAAATCACTTCCAAATAAACTGCTGGAGCGACACATGGTCTAGATTCATCTTGGACAAGAACCAAATGAGAGAAGCCACCCCTGGAGTAGTTTGTTAACTAAAGCCACCCAAATCCTGAACATGACACTTTGCATGGTTTATAATTAGCTGTGTTTAATTTGGCATTATAGTCTGAGCTAACATGGAGAATAAAACTTCTCTGAAAAGGCCAGTTTCATTTTTTAAACTCTTCAAATTGCAGTGCACCTCTAACTGGCCCTATCTCCTCCTAGGTTGTAAGAGCTACACAGAGCACTACTCACTCTAGGTCAATAAAGTACGTGCCATTGACTTCACTGTATTTTAGCTCTTTGAGAATGCTGTTAACCTCTTTAACCTACAAGTTACATTGTCTAAGAGTTTAAAGCCTCTGTGTCTCTTAGTTCTTGAAAATAAGCTTTTGAAGAGATGTCTTTGATTATCTGATGTGCCACTCATTGCTTTTTGATGCTGTTTCTTTTTCTCCTTGGGTTTAAAAATAAACATTTTTTTTAAAAGTTTTAAACGCCTCATTTGATTGTTAAATTCAAGCATACCTATGACAGAAAGAGAATTTGCCTTTGGGAGCTTACAAGCCTAAGTTTATAAGCCTTGGTTTTTAAATTACTTTACCTAATAAGGAACAATATTCCAAAGTCATCGTCATGATTTAAATTTTAAATAGTAACAGATTACTCTGCTTTAAAAATAACCAAGTTTTGGCAAATTAGTTGTCATTCCTGTGTATTGGTCATTAAGGTTCTAAAAAAAACAACAGCACTTAGGATTTTTGGCAGTTGAATGTGTTATGGTACCAGTAATTTAATCATGAAAGAGAAAAAAAGAAAATTTTTCTGTTCCCCTTGTTATCCACTGTTTTTCTTTTTTCTTTTTTACCCTCATAGTATAAATCTCATGAAGAATAAATTAGATCCAGAAGGATTAGGAATCATATTATTGGGTCCATTTCTTCAAGAATTTTTTCCTGATCAGGTAACATAGTTGAGAAAATGCATATATTATTTTCTTCTGTTGGAATGATCACCTGTGATTCTTTCAGGAATTTTTTTTTCCTACTTCTTTAAAATGTTTTAACATATAAATGTGAAACTAAGGAAGTGAAGTACTGTTATGTAAAGACTTTCCATACAGAGACAACAGAAAGGTATGTATGTTGCAATACAATAATGTAAAACTTCAAGGACAGAGACAGGGGAAATCATGCTATACACACACACACATGCACATACACACACACACACACACACACAAATAATACTGGTTTTCTAAAAGAAGGATAAAATAATTTAGAAATATGTGGAGTAAAAGAGTGGTTCTTTTTCTCCTCTACCACCCTTGCTTTTCTTCTGTCAGGTTAACTATTGGTCATAGATTAGTCTGGGCCCTTCTAGAGCTGTCTGAATACTGGGACAGAGGTAAAGGCGCCTGAAGGTAGTAGGCACTCCTGCTGTTGAACCTAAGTTCCAGGAGATTCTCAGTTGAGTAGATGAAAAGCCTCTGTGTGGGGCTAGGCTGTGTCCCGCTGAGATAGGCCTTCCACTGGGGCTTTGTGAGAGCTCAGTTACTTGGATTTCATGCTGATCTCAGTGCTTGAGTTCCTCTGCACCCTTGGTGAGCCAGTTCAATATCCTGTGCTTGTCTTTTCTTCTTCGCTTCTTATCTGTAAAGGATTTTACCATACAGCTGAAATGTTGAGCTAGATACAGCATGATCATTTCATCAGATAGCAACAGTGTTTAAAGTTCATCGTTCCAATAGAAATGGCAATTTCTGTTCTACTCCTATTATACAAGAGATTTACTGGCAAGTAGAAAAATAAATGGTAGAGGGAAAATTTCAAGATAAAATTACTAATTTTTAAGATCTAATTATTAATTTGATATCTCAGATTTAAATTATCTTTCACAAAATAGATGGTATTATGAGCACTGGATCTTAGTAATTCAAAAAGAAAAAGGGACCCATACTTTCTAAGCCTATAGCTGTGTGTGGGATTATTGTGAATAAAGAAAAGGAAATGAGTGAAGTTCAAAAGTACCTAGTGATATCACGATAGAGCCTGTTGGACCTTCTTAAATTTCTATAAATGCTTTGTTCTTTTCGTTTTCTGAAATTATCAGATTGTATTGTATTGCAATATCCTATTTGTTTACATTCCAACTACTAGGTTTTTTTTTTAAAGCTCTTTTATGGAATCTAATATTGTGTTTTAGCTATCTTGATAAATACTTAATATATGATCACATTTATTCATTTTACTTTTATGTATAAAAATGCTGTCAGAAAACTTGATAGAAATATTGATTTCTGGGACCAGCAGTTAGCGTAATGGCTATGTCACTAGACTCCCACGTAGTCGACCGCGGTTCGCGTCCTGGACCCGGTGGCTTAAAACTCACGCTGGGTGCATGTGCGTGTGTGCCCAAGATCCCAAGAGGAGAATGGAGGAGAAGGGATTGCGGCATGGCCATCCCCCCTGGGGGGTGATTTCTCGCTTTCTGTCTCTATGTCTCTCTTTGTCTGCCCGGTGAGCGCACGTACCCCATAGCGAAAACCTCTCCCCCCACCCCCCAAAAAAAAGAAACAAAGTGAGGCAGTTCCCAAGTATTTTGGAAGCATTTATATATGCTTTATATTTAGTTAATTACATGATGCTTATAATTATTATACCTTACTACTTCAAGGAATTAATATTTTATTTGTATTGGGTTGTCAGAAAAGTCTTGACATGTTTTTCTATGCAAAGTTCCATCATGACTTTTCCTTGAGGTAATGAGGGAAGGTTCTAGTTCCCTTCTTTTGACATATAACAGACACTTTTATTTGATTATACCGTTAGTTTCCTCATCTCTTACTGTTTGCTGTTTTTGGGGTTGTCTGGGTTTTGTTGTTGTTGTTTGCTATTCTGCACTTACTCTGTCTAATCAAGTTTGGCTCGCTCTATAATTTAGGCTCATTCCTCAGCTGAAGCATGTGAACCTGCTCTTGATTTTCTTTAAAGAATGGGTTCTCAAAGAACCTATTAGAACTGTAAATTCTCGTGTCTCTCCCCACTCCTGAGGAGTTAGAAACTTTGGTGATGAGCAGAACTCTCTGGTTCAACAAGCCTTTTAGGTGATTCTTAAAGAGGCCAGAGTTTGTGACTATCTGTGAGAGGACGGCCTGTCACATTCCTGCCTATTGACATCTTGTCAGAGCTTAGACCCCTCCTGGGTCATGGATCCTTCCTCATCATCACCCACATAACTGATGTTCTTTTTCTCTATAGTCCCAAAATGCAGTTAGTTACCTGCCACTGTTTTGTGTTTTTTTTTGCCTTTATCCATGTAGTATTATGTATCTAACACATCAATATAGTGATAACTCAGCAAATGTTTGATCAAGTAAGTGAAGTAAAATTGCAAAACTGGAGTCAGCTAGGAAAACAGCCAACTTCAGCAGTCTAAGAAAGTACTTTAAGTAGGTGGTAATGAACAATACCTATTTTCTGTGTAGTACAGGCTGGTGCAGGGGAGAAAAAGTGGGAATGTGCATAAACTTTTCAAGGCAACTTGTTTATAATAAGACTAGCAGAAGCAGCTACCATTTCCTAAGTATATACTGTGTACAAGGCACTATATGCCATAGAAATTAAGGGCTATTTTTCTCATTTTGGCAATGAAGAAACAAAGAACTTAAAATTATTTAAAGTCATAGAACTGCCTAGTTTATTCAGCATAGACCTAACCAAGCCTAGAAGCTCTTCCACCCAACAGTGTTACATTTTCTTTTGTTGATGTTTCTGTATTTTATGCCAGTTGTTAATTAATGGAACTAGAGAATATAAATTGTATTCATTATAGCAAGTGTTTGTTTTTAAAATTAAAATAAGTTAACTGAAAATCAAGAGCCAAATTATTTTATCAAAGCAACTAATTGCATTGGCATGTATTATTAAGGAAGCAATCAAATAAATCAGATTTTTTTGTTTCATAAAGCATTTTGAGAGGAATACAAAAGATTACAAGAAAGCTTAGATTATAATTGGAAATGAAAGAGATAAAAGTTAACAGTCATGAGGGCACTTCAAAAAATTGGAAAAATGAAAGTTCAAATTTATTTTTATGCAAAAATATTTGAAATTCATACATAATTTATTATATACATTTTTAATGAAATTTTTGAATACTCACCCCATTGAAGAAATGATACAAATACAAAGTAGCATATGGTTTATTCTGAAATTAATTATTCAAACAGTTGTAAAAGTAACGATTTTTTTTTTGGAGAGGTTTTTGCTATAGGGCGTGTGTGCTCGCAAGACAGAGAGACAGAAAGCGAGAAATCACTCCCCAGGGGGGATGGTCACGCCGCAATCCCTTCTCCTCCGTTCTCATTTCGGGATATTGGGCACGCATGCACACGCACCCGGCGTGAGTTTTAAGCCACCAGGTCTGGGACACGAACCGCGGTCAACTACGTGGTAGTCCAGCGACATAGCCATTACACTAACTGCTGGTTCCCAAAGTAACAGTTTTAAATGTTAAAGACTCAACCTGATTGTTAAGGGAACACTTTAAAGAAAAGGTAAGATTTGAACCAACTCTTATATATTACAAAGGAAAAAGGAGAGAAAACGTTTTAGTGAGAAGTAAAAAAGAAAGAAAAAGTCATGAATGTGAAAATGGTCAACAGAAAGTTTTTTCATGGAAAAAATGCTTATCTAAAACAGAATTCAGAAAGCTGAGTAGTTGAAGATAAGACCAAAAAGGTAGATTAAGTCTTACATTCATTTAGAACTCCAGGTTGCACATCACAGAATCACAGCCTGAGCTGACTTACTTGGAGGGAAATAGACAAATGAGAAGAGTATCTCAGGGTAGTCGAAGCCAGTACAGAAGGTAGCACTTGGAGCCTTGGATTCGGGAGCAGAGGCCTCAGACACTGCCAGGATTTATCACCCATCTTTTCTCTGTAAAGTAGCTACTTTCTCAGCTCACCTTTCTCTAGGAGGTGAGGCCACAGTTGCCAACAGCTCTGTTCCCCTCGCTCCAGTTGAAAAAACTTTGAAGAACAACTCTGGCTCAGCTTGGGTCAAGCTCATCCTCATAGCAATCAGATGTGGCCAGAAAGACAAGCAGACTCAGCCATAGACCCTGAGAGAAACCATTTGGAGCCAGCCATTTTCAGTGGAATGAGACTATTAATAGCCTTGAATGCTGGTTAAGAGTGTTAGGCTTGATCTTTAGCTAATTGAAAACTAAGGTTAAGGTCTAGCCAAATGGCACAGTGATAGCACGGTACTCTGCAATGCTGTCTGCCATATGGAAGATCAGGGTTCAGTTCCTGTGTTGCCCTGTAAATATCAGGTGCATGTGCATATGCACATCAATCCTGGCTGATGAGATAAGGTCCAGAAAAGATCCCAGTCTAAGACCAGGGTCCTGGTCAAGAGAGCTTGGTGCGCTCAGACAAGTGATTTATAGGATATATTTTTTTTACTGAATGTTATTTAAGTCTTTTTAAGCACCTTATGTGTTTCAGTTTCTCACAATGTTATTTTCACCAATTAAAAGTTGCTAAAATTCAGGACCAGTAGATGGCATAGTGGTTATATTGCTGGAATCCCATATAGTCAACCACGGTTCGAGTCCCAGACCCGGTGACTTACACTGGGCTTGTGCGCATGCCTGCCCAAAATCCTGAGAGGAGGGTGGAGGAGAAGAGATTGTGGCATGGCATGGCCATCCCCCATGGGGGTGCATTTCTCACTTTCTGTCTTTTGCTCTCTTGTCTCTCTGGCAAGTGCACGTACTATGTTGCAAAAAAACTCTTCAAAAATAAAAGTTGATAAAATTCAAATGATATTTTTAAAAATGGAAACCCCTATTTAATATTGTGGACCAAATTGGAAATATTGGCGCATATATATTTGTGGTCTTAGTACAGTAATACTATTGCTTATGCATATTGATATATTTTAGAAGCTACTTTTGTCTTACAGAAACTTGTCCTTAAAAAAAAAAGATTACAATTCATGCACATTGTTAAACTAGTATAGAAGAGTTGATAATGAAACTCAGGAGTTTTTAGTCGTTTTTTTTTTTTGGAGAGATTTTTTGCTATAGGGCACGTGCGCTCACCAGACAGACAGAGACATAGAGACAGAAAGCGAGAAATCACCCCCCAGGGGGGATGGTCACGCCGCAATCCCTTCTCCTCCATTCTCCTCTCAGGATCTTGGGCATGCACGCACACGCGCCCGGCGTGAGTTTTAAACCACCAGGTCTGGGACGTGAACCGCGGTTGACTACGTGGGAGTCCAGCGACATAGCCATTATGCCAACTGCTAGTTCCCAGTCTTTTTTTTTTTTTTAAGCTTTTGGCTTTTCTGATAGTTAACTTCATAAATCTAAGTTTCTTTTTCTATCAAATGATTCTCTAATGAACATATAAGGATTTAAGGAACTTGCATTTTCCTTTCAGTTGCTAATTAGAAATTGCTGGATATGAAGATGTAAATTTTAATAGTACTTTATTTATTACAGGGCTCCAGTGGTCCAGAGTCTTTTACTGTCTACCACTACAATGGATTGAAGCAATCAAATTATAATGAAAAGGTATGATAATGCATGAAATAATTTGTCTTTAACTAGGATGATGAGATAAATATATAACAGTGTTTTAATTCCCGTGCAGTTGCTACATTAAGGAGATTATTGCAAGAGTCTGATTACTATCACAACATATTTCAGAACTAGTCATATTTTGATTTGGCCAGTATATGAAGATCTACATTGAACTTTGGAGCAATTGATTTACTGTGACAAAGTAACCACATATACATACATATTGTTATCCTTGACCATGTCCACATTTCTGAATCCTAGAGTTGGTCCAGAGAAAATTGTTACTGATCTATGTAAAAGGAGAAAGGAGTAAAGTGTAGTGAGAAAAATATTTTAGATTTAATTAATAGCTAGACTTTACTGAGTATTTACTTTGAATTATATAAGGGGACTTCAGTAAACTTGTGGGACTAGAATTCAAGTACAAGTTTATTTTGGTGCAAAAACTTTTGAAATCCATGTATAGTTTTTTCATAATATACATTGTCCATGAACTTTTTGAAGACCTCTCATGTTTTATATTAAAGTTCACACCTTACTTCATGGTGTATTCTCTGTCAATCCCAATTTAACAGAGTGCTTCACCCAGATTTTGAAGCGTTGCATAGTTTTTTAATAGGTACTTTTTAGTCACTAATCAGTTATTCGTCTACATAATCCCTACAAGGTAGATCAGTCAAACATTATCCATATTTTACAGATGAGGCATCTGAGACAGGGAGATTAAGTGACTCACCCAGAGTCACACAGCAAGTCATTGGCAGAGCAGGGATTGGAACTGAGTTCCTGATTCCCAATCCTGTCCTTGGTCTGCTTGGCCTCACTACCTGTATATAGTAAGTCTTCAAGTCATGCTTGTGACAAGCGTTTGACATACTAACAAAAAGATCAGAAATAAAAGAAGATGCAATACTACTGTGACGATAATGTATAACACCTATAAAGCAAAGCATCTCTGTCATTAAGTTGCAGAAGTATGATGTTATGAAGTTATTCAGGAGCTAGAAATATGATAGACTGCATAGTAAGGTACTTTTAAAAATACCTGAGGAAACAGACCAAAGGGGAATGCTGGCAAAGTGGAACAGAGCCTGCCCCACCAGGCAGTCCACGCTCGGTGCCACTAGAGATAGGTCACAGTAGGTTGCCCAGTACTTCTGCTGTGATGCTCCAAGCAAGTGAAGATCTTTGCGAACAGTGGGTCCTTTCTTATTTGTTGAGAACAATGTGAGTTGTATTCCTTGTGTACAGCTTTTTGTTTTGGGAAGTTGAAAAGCAGATCTAATTTTATTTCATCAAATTAGAAACAAACTAAAACATTATCCAAATTAAAGATGAAAATAATGTATTTCACAGGAAAGTATGTCATTAGCGATTCTTAAAAAAATGAGATTTTTGAAACCAAATTTTTGACTTAGTAATATAAAATATTCTATTCTCATATTTAATGTGTTTTTAAAGAAATTTCCATGTAAAGCCAATAAAGTTGTTTCTTTTGGCTCCTTAGTCAAACAGCATATAGTTTTTATATTGGATGAACATAATTACAAACATGTGTTTTACCCATTGAATGTGTAAAAATAATTAGTTTGCCTTCTTCCAAAGTATGTGTATCTTTTCCTTTTAAATTATGCAGAGTTGGAGTTTCTGTTCAAAAATTTATGATTGAGTGTTTTAATATACACAGTGAACCCTCAGTTACACATTAGGGTTTTTTTTATAGATGTTATAAATACTTTTCAAAGTTTTTAATGGGCCAGCACCATGGCCTATTGGAAAAGGCAGCCACATCCCACGTGGCTGACCATGTAGTTTGAATCCCAGGCCTAGCAGCTCAAGAAACACACTGGGCTAGATGTGTGTGCACTCAAAATCCCAAAAGGAAGGAGAGATGGAGGAGAAAGGATTGCAGCGTGACCATTTCTCTTTCTCCCCTCCCTCTTACTCTCTGGCAAGTGCATGAACAGTCTAACAATAATAATAATAATAATAATAATATTTTCATTGCAAATTAAAATAATCAGAATAAAACTTTCATATCTACCTACCAGTTTATATTTTATGTGATTATTGCCACTGCATATAAAGTACCTGGCCAGTTTGATGTGTTACTTTCTGTCTACTCTTAGATTTTTTTTTTTCTGTCTTGACACCCTTTTCAATTTTTTCTCTGCAATTTTTCATGTAGTACAAAGTGTACTCATGGTATTAAATATTTCTGACATGCAGGTCATAATAGCAAATTTACTGACAAATGTGCCAATTGTTTTCAGCTCTGGAAATTTAATACTTAAATTAATGGACAAAATAAAGTCTTCCTTAGAATATATAACTTATATTTCTGTTGTAGCTTTCCATTTCAGGGGCAGCATAGGCATCTGAATGGATGCTTTAATATAGACTAATGCAATGGGAACCACATAATTTAAAATTTCTTCCAAATAGATACTTATTTAAATAATGTATTATTTTTTAGAAACTGTATGTGTTTTGTGATTTCCGTATTTATTTATTTTCAATCATAATCTTTTTTATTTATTTATTTTTTTGGAGAGGTTTTTGCTATAGGGTGCATGTGCTCGCCAGAAAGACAGAGAGACAGAGAAACAAAGTGAGAAATCACCCCCCAGGGGGGATGGCCATGCCACAATCCCTTCTCCTCCATTCTCTTCTCAGAATCTTGAGCACGCATGCACATGCACATGGCATGAGTTTAAGCCACCAGGTCTAGGACTTGAACCGCGGTCAGCTACATGGGAGTCCAGCGACATAGCCATTACACTAACTGCTGGTCCCCTTTTTAATTATAATCTTGAATTCTAAAAATCACCTAACAATTAAAATTTGTTTCCCTATCTCATTTACAAATTTATTTTTACATTAATCAGTAGGCAGAAGTTTTGATAGAAATTATGAGCAAAAATAACAGTGCTGCTTAAAACAATATGCAGTACCTTATTTGCTAGTCTATAAAAACTGCTTGTATGCCACATAAGAATTTGCTGAAAATACCAATTGACTAAGGCTTTATTTTGTTCAACAGGTAATGTATGTAGAAGGGACTGCGGTAGTCATGGGTTTTGAAGATCCCATGCTCCAGACAGATGACACTCCTATAAAACGCTGTCTCCAAACCAAATGGCCCTACATCGAATTGCTCTGGACTACAGATCGCTCTCCTTCACTAAACTGATTTTACCAAGTATTTTTAAGGAAGATCATAATAAGAGATGGTGAAAGTGGGATTCAAGACTGGCGGTTGGCTAAATTAATCTATACACTGGTATAATTGATCACCTGTAAATAACAATCAGAAACACTTTTTCAGTGTTTAAGATATGTTTAAATTATTTGTTTTAAAGCTTTATGTTAAAGGTTATCCTGTTATAACTCTGTGTGTGAAACTTACTAGCAAAATTAAGCTTTAATCAGACTTCATTCCACAGTCAGATAATTGGTCATTTACTTTTCAAATTACAAACATCCTAAGCATTTGTACATTGGGGTTTTATTTCATTTGGGCACATCTTACTGTTTAAGTGGTTCTGGCTTGTATGCTGTTTGTCTCCACACTGTAATGCACAAGAGTTCATTATTGTCATTCCTTTTCTAAAATCTTGTTTTCCATTAGAATTATCAGTAAATAACAAATTATCAGCTCAGATCCTTTGACAGTTGCCCTAGCTCTTGTATGTTTATAAAAAGTAGAAATGATAAGGGACCATTACCATTTACTCACAGATGAATAGGGGATGTATTTTAAAAAAATGATAGAAAAGAGAATCTGTTTGATAGTCTTAACACTGTTAACTTTGTTGCCAAACACACTTTTCCAAATTTGTTCCAACAGCCCAGTAAGCCAACTTTCTGTATATTTATAAATGTGATAAATGCATGAGAACATCTGTTATTACATTAGTATATTCCATTATTTATTATGATCCTAGTCAATGGCCTAAATAAATACTTTTTTTCTTTACATGTACCTTTGCATTTTTTTTTACATTAATTGCTCAAAATAAATACGTGTAAATGACTGCCCGGCAATTCTGAGAGCACAGGGCAGAATGGACTCATCTGAGACCTTTAATTAGAGACCAGACCTCTGTTCACCTAAAAAATTTGCTAACCCAGGACAGCCAGGAGCACAGAAACCTGTAGCCACTGTCCAGACCAGTGAATTAAATAGCACTCATAACTCAATAAAGATTTTTAAGGGAGCAAATGACTTAGATGTTTCTTCAAAGATAATATACACAAAGATGATATAAAAATGGCCAGTTAACACATGAAAAGATGCTCAACTCCAGTCCCTTGAGAAACATAAATCAAAAACTACAAAATACACTTCATACTATTAAAATAACTAAAACCAAAAAGATAAATGTTAGTGAGGATGTGGAGCAATAGGAACTCTTACACACTGCTGGTGAGGATGTAAAATGCTTTGGAAAACAGTTACATACAAAAACTTAAATACAGCACTTCTCTGTGACCCAGCAGTTCCACTCTTGTAAGTGCACACCCAAGAGAAATGGTAACAAATTCAGTCAAAAACTTACATGAATGGTTATAACAGCAGTATTCATAGAAGTCAAAGAGTAGAAAGAAGCTAAATGTTCATCACCCGATGGATGAATAAACAAATGTAATATATGCATACAATAGAATTTTACTTTGCAATAAGAATGAATTACACATGCTCTAACTGGTGAACCTCAAAAACATGCTAAGTGAAAGAAGCCAGTGGCAAGGACCCCATAGACAGTATGTATATACAAGTCCATTTATATGAAATGTCTGGAAAAGGCAAGTCATAGGAAGTGGGTTTGCAGGCCAGGCTGGGATGGAGTGGAGTACCCAGACTTGGAGAGGGACTGCTAACGTGTATGGAGTTTCTTTCTGGGGTGATTAAATGGTCTAAAATCAGATTGCAGTGATGGTTGTACAACCCTGAACATACTGAAAACCACTGAACTGTGAGAATAAAAGAGAAAAGGAGAAACTAATGACATGAAAAGCAACCAATAATAGGGGAAGAATCAGCAAATCCACAAGTTCTTTGAAAAAGAAATGGACAAACCTAACAAATTGATGAAAAAAAGAGAAAAAAAAAACATTACTAACATTAGGAAAGAAAACCATACTACAAATTCTCTGGATATTAAAAATATTGGAGAACAAAGACCAGGCTATGGCGCCAGACTTCAACATAGTCGACCGTGCTTTAAGTCCCAGACCCACACCGGGAGCATTTGCGTGGGTGACCAGAAATCTCAAGAGAATGGAGAAGGAATGGAGAAGAAGGGATTGCAGCGTGGCCATTCCCCCTGGAGGTGGGTGGGTATTTCTTGTTTTCTGGCTCTGTCTCTCTGGTGAATGCATGTGCCCTATAGCCCTATAGCAAAACTTTTTCTCTCAAAAAAAAAAAAAAAATGGAGAAAATCACAAGCTCTCTTACACCAATAAATTTAAAATTTTAGATCAAATGAACTGTTTCAAAAACACAACCTATCAGAACGGTCACAAGGAGAAAATCTTAAGTCCACTAAATTTAACCAATACTTCAAAAGTCTTCCCCTCAAAGAAAACTTCAGGCCTAGATGGCTTCACTGTCAAATGCTCCCAAACACGTACAGTAATGCCAGCTTTAAACAAACTGCTGCCAGGAAATAAAGAAGGGATAACTGTATTTCATTCCATGAAGCCAGAATGACCCTGATATAATACCAAACCTGACAAAGACACGGTGAGAAAAATTGTAGATAAGTATTTCCCATGATCATGGACGTAATTATACACTAATATGAAACACATGAAAATATGGCATATGCATCTGTATATGTAATACTTTATGACCAAATGGGAAAATTTAACAAAAAGAAGATGATTACCTCAATCGATATAGAAAAGCATCTGATAAAAATAACTCATGATTTTAAAAAATTCATGTCAGGAGACCTGATGGCATAGTGGTTAAGGCAACAAGATCCCATATGGTCAACTGCATGGTTTTAGACCCAGCAGCTTGAAAAACGCTGGGCACGTGTGTGAGTGTGTGAGTGTGTGTGTGTGTATGTGTATGTGTATGCATGTGCACCCAGAATCCCAAAAGGAAGAAATGGAGAAGGCATTACAGCATGACCATGCCCCATGGGGGAGGAGGGATGCTTAATCCCTTTCCTTCTCAGACTCTCTCTCTCTGGCAAGCACATGTGTCCTCCAGCTACTTAAAAATAAATAATAAAATATAAAATGACATATGCCTGTTTATTGGGTGCAGAGTTTCTGTTTGAAGGAATGAGAGGTTTTAGCAGTAGCCCATGCTACCAGTGGTAGAACATTGCAGATGTAATAATGCCACTGACTCCCACACTTCAAAACTGTTTCAAATGCCAGGTTTTATGTTATTTACATTTAGTCACAATATAAATATTTGTATGCAAATTCAAGAGCTGTGGAAACTAAGAGATGGTTTGGGGGAGACGACACGTTAAAGTACCCCAGCCCCTTTTTTTCTTTTTAAGAGGTTTTTTTTTTTTAAGGGGTTTTTTTTTTTTTTTTTTTTTTTTTTTTTTGCTATCGGGCTCATGCGCTCGCCAGACAGAGACGGAGAGACAGAAAGCAAGAAATTACCCCCCTGGGGGATGGCCACGCCACAATCTCTTCTCCTCCATTCTCCTCTCGGGATCTTGGGCACGCACACACACGCGCCCGGCGTGGATCTTAAGCCACCGGGTCCGGGACCAAACCACAGTCGACTACGTGGGAGTCCAGTGACATAGCCATTACGCTAACTGCCCCAGCCCCTTTTTTTAAAAAAGATTTGTCAAGGTGCAGATGATCACAAGATAAAGGAAGGGGAGAAAGCTCCCCCCAGTGGGGTGTGGTCACTCCACAATCCTTTTTCCTCCATTACTCCATCTTTTCAGGATTCGGGGCACAGGTCTCTTAAGCCAGGAGGACCAGGATTCCAACAGAGCAGTCTGCCATGCCCAGTCTGGCTCCTTTTACTGGCCCAAAGTATCCCCTTACATGAGTACTGACAGCATGTTTGGACAAAGAGAAATGCAAAGGAAATAAATTAGAAATCTATGGAGGAGGGGCCGGTAGGTGGCATGGTGGGCGCTGAACTCCCACATGGCCAACTGCAGTTCAAGTCCCAGACTTGGCAGCTTGCTTTCTCACTTTCCTTCTCTCTCTCTCTCTCTCTCTCTCTGTCCCTCTCTAGTGAGATAAAAATAATTAAAAAGAAAAAAAAATCTAAAGAAGAGTAAAGAAATTAGAAAAATAAAAATACAAATGGTAAAAGGAAGTAGCCAAGCAAAATAAGGAGGGGTGGGGGTAATTTTAAAAAGTCACACTTGCGGGAACCAGCAGTTAGCGTAATGGCTATGTCACTGGACTCCCATGTAGTCGACCACGGTTCGCGTCCGGACCCGGTGGCTTAAAACTCACGCCAGGCGCGTGTGCGTGCGTGCCCAAGATCCCAAGAGGAGAATGGAGGAGAAGGGATTGCGGCGTGACCATGCCCCCGGGGGGTGATTTCTCGCTTTCTGTCTCTATGTCTCTCTCTGTCTGTCTGGTGAGCGCACACGCCCTATAGCAAGAAACCTCTCAAAAAAAAAAAAAAATAGTCACACTTGTAATAAACCAGTAATATCTCCTACAGTTTTTCAAGTATTTTTTAACATCTTTATGTTAATAGCTAGCAGTTTTTCACAGTCTGAGTATAGTTCTTGCCCTATAGCCTTTCAATAACCTTGTGGCATAAGTTTCCCCGACTTACAGGTGGCGAACCTGAAGTTTAAGAGGATGAGGTCAATGCTCACAACCACACCCTACAGCAGAGCAGGGCTGCAACGCAGGTGAGCTTGACCAGTCTCCTGCTCAGCCTCCTGAACTCTTTGAGACCTCGGTTCTCTGAGCCAAGCTCTAAGACCCGTCAGCATCACCTGCACCTTCAAAGATCCCACACTGCTGGGGGCCAACAGGTGGCATGGTGGTTAAGGGCACTGGATTCCCACATGGCTGACTGCGGTTCAAGTCCTGGACCTGGCAGCTTGCCTTCTCATTTCTCTCTCTCCATCTTAGTCTCTTGCTCTGTCCCTCTCTGGTCAAATTAAAATAAGTAAATAAATAAATAATTCTTAAAAAAAAAAAAAAAGAAAGGTCCCACACTGCACACAGCACAGTGAAGACACTATTTGTTCCCAGTATGGATTTGGGCAATTTGCTTAAATATTGAATCTTTCTTACATACAAGTAAGGTTGAAAACAATATTCACAAAAATGTATTGAACATTGCTGTGCATGTTAAATAAGATACTACTGAAGATAACACATACTAGATTTCATAAAACATTGCTCATGAAGATGGAATGAGGATGATAGTGTTGCCCTCTGTACTAGGAGACACTTCAAACTGCACTGCACGCTCAGATCAGCCCAGAGATTATAAAAATTAAATAACCTAATGGAAGAAAAAATACATAAATTGCTCACTGCTAAGCAATATAGCATTTACCATAGTGTACTTATTTATCATACGTGTAGCTTTTCTAAGCATGAAAAAGATTTTATGCTCTGAAAATACCAGGGGACTCTGGAACATTTGTGGAAAAGTGAACAAATTAAAAAAATAAGAATTTTTTTTTTAAAAAATGAAATCAAAGTACCTGTTTATTTTGGTGCCAAAAAAGAATCCATACATAATTTTTTCATAATGTGCATCTCCCATGAATTTTTGAAGATCTGCATTTTGATCTGAGTATATGACCTGATGGTACAATGTTTTACTTTCTTTGGAATCAGAGTTAATATTAAACAGCTTCACTGAAGAACACTAACTCCTATAATATCAACACAATGGTTACATTATGCAATAATATTTTCTTCCCTGTCACTTACCCTTCTTTTCTTGTTCACACTAACTGAAGCTACATATTAAATCAACTGACTAATTCTAAACAAATATTTTGAGTG